TTTCACCGTATACTTTCCAGATTTTGTGAAATGCCATCCCCATAGATCTGACCTGTAAGATCTGCTAATGGAAATTTCTTTATATTGGTTACTAAATCTTATGTACATAATATAAATAAATAAGGAGAGAGCGGATATCCTTGACGGAGTCTCCTCCCTGGAATTATTTACCCTCGTGGCTGTCTGTTTAACAGAACTTTATATCTGACAGAAATAATGCACTACATCATCCATACTATCAATTTCTCCGCGAAACCAAATCTTCTTAATAAAATTTCGATAAAAGATAATTCAACTCTGTCATAAGCTTTACTCATATCCGTTTTGATTGCAATATATTTATTTTTGCAAGATGGATTTGTCCGCAACCCATAAAACATCTCCTGAGCTATCAATATATTATCTGAAATCAGTCGTCCAGCGACAAAAGCAGATTGATTTTCCGAGATCATGTCGGGTAACAATCCTTTCAGTCTTTGGCATAGCACTTTAGATATGATCTTATAACCTACATTGAATAAGCTAATAGGCCGTTTTTGGTATATTGGCAAATATTTGTCATATTCAACCTTTCATCGAAAACTCCAGGTTTGACTTAATGGGCCACGAGCTTTGGTAGAATAGTGCTATCATTCCGTCTGTTCCTGGATTTTCTCCAGATTCATCATAAATAAAGCACTACGGATCTCTTCCTTAGTAGTCCTAGCCATAAGCATTGCGTTATTGTTATCTGTAATTAAATTAATGACTTTATCTCTCTCAATGCTTCCTTAAAGTCTGATGGAGAAATTAAAGTGAATAACTCGTCATAATAGTTAACTGCCACTTGCTCAATCTCTTTTTCCGATGTGACCTATGTGCCTACCGTATTATGTAAACCAATAATTCGGTTTCTTACTCTCCATTGTTTAACTTGTGGATGGTAAAATTTTGTATTTTTATCCCCAAGAGTAGCCCATTGGTAAATACATTTTTGTTGCCAGAACAACTCGATGTCTCTATATGCTTCCTTTAGTTTTTTTAGAGACCGCTATTAATTCCTCTTCTTATCGTGTGTCATTATTTTGAATTTCCTCTAAAGACCGTTTCAGTTCATCAATTTTTTCTCGTCCATATGGTTTAAGATTGTGTCGCCATTTAGATATTTTTTGCCCGCAGTTCCTGATTTTGTCCACAAATAAATTCTCCTCCCCACCATGGTCTAAAGTCCATCCTCTAGAGATAGTATCCATGAGACCATCTTGTCCAAGCCATCTTTTGTCGAACCTAAATTGAGCTCTCTTGCGGGAAATTTTATCCTCAATTGTAGCAACCATTGATCTATGGTCCAATCCAATCATCGCTAGATATTTAACCAAAGAATGTGTGAATATATCATACCGATTTTTATTAGCCAAAACCTGATTTAACTTTCACCTAACTAATTTTGGATTTCGTCGTCCCCGCCAAAACATTGTATTTCTTAAGCACGAAAATTCCAAAAAACACCATAATCTCATATCATAGTGTTAAAAGACACTAAAGTAGAAGTGTTTCTTAAAGATCCACCTTATTTCTTATTTTTCCCGGTGATCACATTCAAATCTCCAATTATTAGCTAAGGTTCCATTCAGATATTGCTAATTCTTGTTAAACGTTCCCAAACTTGATCCCCGTAAATAAAAGATAAAAATATATTTTTTCCAAAAATATTTGCGTCAACATTAATTATTTTATTATTTGAAAATAAAATAGTAATATAAAATAAATATTATTTATTATCATTGAAATTTTATTATTTTAAAAATAAAATATAGATATATTTACATTTTATCTATTAAAATTATCAATATTTGAAGCACCATTTAGACATCGATTTTCACATGGTCTAATGCATGTGTGGACTTTCTGTTGCATCTCAATATATATATATTTTTAACATTCACTCCAAATTATAATTTTTTCACTCTTATAAGATTTCGCCGAGAAAAAACTTGATTGGATGACTATCAAACACCTATGATTAAATCCTCAAAAAGATTCGTAAGAAAATTGACACAAATTAGTTTTACTGTTTTTTCTGAGAATATCCAAAGAAGGAATTTACATTTTTACTAATCAAGTAAACAAATTATAAAATGGTTTTATGGTGAATAGAAGTGAAAACATAAAAGGATATATATATATATATATATAGATGTAGCAGCAGTCCATGTGCTCGAATGTGCCAGTTTATATAGTCCATTATCAGTTGAAGAGAAAAAAACTTAGTTCGCCATAGCTAACTGTTTTAACATCTCAATTATAAAATTATGAAAACAAAAACATAACAAAACTATAACTCTAGAGTTTATCAAATCAAATATGTGTGAATAATTTATAAATTTTTGAAAATAAACGTGTTTGGTAGTGTGTATAGAAAAATTATATAAATACATTAAAAAGAGAAAGGCTGAGAAAATTTCTGGAAGTGACACAGAAGCAAAATTAACCTCCAATATTTCAAGAGATTAATGTTTTTTTAATATCTGTGAAATTTTTTAAAAATCTATTATTTGGAAAAGTGGACGTATTGGTTAATTCATTCAAGATTGGTATGAATGAAGTCATGCCAAATAGGAATTAATGGGTGATGTAGATCTCCTGTCTATTGGAGGCTCGACCACACAACAAAGCATTCTTGGGAATAGGATATTCATCTCTTTGAGATTTAACCGGAGAGTAAACTCGGAGGTAGAATTGTTGACCTAAGTATCGCCTCGTCCAAACCTCACTCCTTAGATTCCACATCCCCACGTTATCCAATGCCACATATACCGCTGTCCAAGTTTTTGGATATACCTAAAAAACCAAACACATTTCCAACTTTAATATCAAAATGCTTTGATACTTTCCACTCCGTTCGTGTTATATTGAAAATTTTCTTAACAAAAATAATTTGGACTTAACTAGTATGTTAGATGAATAAAGGAATAACATAATAGCTAAATTATGAAACGACAAAATCACGGGGAAAATAAGTTGAATTATAATCTGCATTTAGTTATTTAGACATTGTGTTTGGTAAACCACACATTTAGGATTTGCAGAAGCATTAGGACTGAAAATAAGCTTAGAAAAGTCGACATTATATCTCGGCATCTCGCTGGAGTTGCAGAGAATCAACGACAGATTTTGGTGAATGCATTCCCAATTGGTTTAGGATCTTTGCTTTTACGCTATCTGGGTCTGCCCCTGCTAACCAAACGGATGTCTAAAGCGGACTATTCACCACTTATTGAGAAGGTCAGAGCAAAACTAAGTGGGTGGACAGCTCGTGCTCTCTCCTACGCCGGATGGTTACAACGGTCCTCTCTAGTTTATCAAACTTCTGGATATCTGCCTTTAGACTTCCTCGCAGCTGCATCAATGAGATCCACAGTCTCTGCTCTGCGTTTTTGTGGTCAGGTCCTGCACTAAATACTAGAAGAGCAAAACTAGTTTGGGAAGATGTTTGCCGACCTCTGGAAGAGGGAGGATTGGGTCGTAGACCCCTGAGAGAGGCGAATAAAGTATGTTGTATTAAGTTGATCTGGAGAATTTCTGCTCGGGGCTCACTCTGGGTTAATTGGATTAAGATGAACCTTATCAGGAAAGGTTCCTTTTGGTCGGTGCAGGAGAATACATCATCTGGTTCGTGGATGTGGCCGAAGTTACTCAAGTACAGAACCACACCTTTTGAGTTTTACAAGATTGAGATCAGGGATGAGTTTTCAGCACACTTCTGGTTTGATAAATGGTCGCCACTGGGTAAAATTATGGACGAAACTGGAGCCAGGGGAGTTGTAGATTTGGGAATTGCAGTGCATGACACTTTGGGTCACGCTATCGATTCCCATAGACGACGACGCCACCGCCAAGTTTTATTGAAAAATATTGAAGAGGCTCTTGACCAAGCTCGTCAGAACAGGAAACTTGGTGAAGACGATATCGTCTTGTGGAGACAGGCGAATGGAAAGTTCAAACAGAGTTTCTCAACTAAAAAAACTTGGAAGCAGCTGCGGCAAACTCATTATACGAATGAACGGCATTAGGGATATGGTTCAAAAATGCAACTCCAAAATTCTCATTCATTGCCTGGTTAGCTGTTCACAATTGGCTGGCTACTGGAGATCGCGACAGTGGAATGTTGGACCATCAGATCAATGTCCTCTCTGCTTGGAACAGGGAGAAACGAGAAATCTTTTATTTTTGCATGTAATTACTCAACGCAGGTGTGGAAACACCTCACCAAAGGGCTGTTACGACAGCAATGGAGTAAGGAATGGGACACTTGCGTTGATCTCCTTACTTCGAGCAACATCGGATTTCAGGCGACAATATCTGCGATTTGGAAGGAGAGAAATGGACGACGACACGGGGAACCTCCATTATCGGCAGAGACTCTGAGCAAACTCATTATCGGCAGAAACCGGGTCCATTCAATCCGAGATCTACAGCCCCGTTACAATGAGGGCTTGGTCACTTGGCTGGCAGCGTTGGAGGGCTAAGAGCTTAGCTTAGTTTTCTTAAATCAAATGTTTGGAAATTTTCTACTTTTTTTGCACCCAATGTTAAAAAAGACCGCTGTTTTTTTTGGTGATGAATACAATTTTATATTCTCCTCAAAAAAAAAAAACACAATGTCTGAATAACTAAATGCAGATTATAACTTAGAAATAATTATATGGGTCATAATTATGCAGTCATCTATTCTAATGTTTGATTATTATTTTGTTATTTTCATATCAGGCAGATCCTAATCTTTGTGTGTTATTTGTCTAAACATCACGTAAAATAAAAATAAATGAACCGTGTTTTTCAGAAGAGATGAAAATAGTTTACGTACTTGAGTAGTGGAGCGAGAAATAGCATCCCTAAGGTTATACGCTCGTCGGCTCGCCTGTGACCATGTTCCTTTATCCATTCTGTTAAAAACTCACATATGTCAATAAGCATAGATGCATTTCATATGATTCTCATAGTTGATTTAGCTATTGTTCTCACCCGACAACCCAGAAGTTGTAACCATCGAGGTGGTAACTCTGGACGGTATTCTCGGGGTTTTGAAAGACGACCTCAAGAAAGGCCTTGTGGTGTGCTCCCATAACTGCCGTGTCCAGCCTCATACCTCCTCTGCTGGGCATGTCAGGGATGCTTCCCACGTTAAAAACGCCTTTGATCTTAAAGTAGTCTGCTAGCTTCAGCGGAGTATCCGCAGGAACGAACGAAATGCCATTTATGGCGTACCGTTGCTTCTTATTCACAAAATCTGCTGAGCTTTCAAGTATCAAAGTCCTAGAAATCTTGATTCGACTGTAATGGTACGAGCCCTGAGGGTTAGGCCTTGGTCCGGACGCAGTCAAGTTTGTCTTAATGGACCGGGCTTGTTTGATAGAAAAGTCTAGTTCATCGGAAGGTTGTCTACTAGGTACAAAAGTAGACCCTTTAGAGTTGGAGTAGTGGAGAGTGGATCCGACATTGTATTGTGTTTCGGTAAATCTCGTGGAGATAACAATGGAATAGTTTTGTGGAGGCTGGTCCATGGTGACCAGGACAGAGTAAGACTGGCCAACGTGAATGTCTATTGATGTGTACATGGACTGAACCGTGTGGGTTCCCTCAACCTCAACGAGCTTCAACATATGGCCTAATATTTCGAAGTTCAGGGAGTGTTGAAGACCCACATTCGATATTCTGAATCTGTACGTTTTTCCTATTAGTTTTTCAACAAACGTGATTAGAGATGCTTTTCTTGTAACCATTGTATTCAAGTTTGGAGTTTCTAAGATGAACCTTTGTGGACGGTGAAAGAAGTAGAAAAGGTGAGTCCATGGCCATTGAGCAAAACCACATCAGGCAAAGGTATTTTGCGTCCTCTATCCAAAAGTGCCTTCAAAGTCTAGATGTGGAATGAACACAAAAGTGTTTTAAATCTTTGTCTTTAGTAAAAAAAGTCTGAAAATCAGATTTAAAGGGTTCAGAAAAATGGCCCTAGGTCTCATAATAATTTTGAACCGAGCCCTGATGCGAACTAAAGTCTAAATATGATTAGTTAACAATTAAGATATGTACCTTGTGGTCATCCTGAGAGTACCAATCGCCTATGAGGAAGGTGAAGTCTCCGGCAGGTTGAGGGAAAGGGACGGGAATATGAGGGCGGCTGAAGATTCGGAGGGCGCCAAAACCACCAGCGGCTTTTTGAACGGCGAGGGAAGGGAAGTAGAAGAAACTACCTATCTGGTTTTTGACATGGAGAGCATAAGTGTAATTCCTGCCAGGTGGGATTGGACAAGTCGTCCCATACACTCCATCTTGGTAAGAATTCTTCCTTTGTTGCACACCGTTCCTCCATTTATCAAATTTGTGTTGTGTTTATTAAATTCATGATATTGTAATTGACATGAAAACTTGACGTGTTCACTAATATTACCCAACAAATTAACAAGATTGAGAAGAAACGGCACATGTGCATGCAAATGGCCTTCTTTTAATATAACATTAGCTTTTATTTAATTGGAACGGGCCTTCAGATAAGCTTGTACGTCAATTATCCACCCATACTTTTATATGTATTGATGTTACTTTTGTATTGCTATTCAAATGAATGGAAGAATATCTGATATAACTTCATTAAGAAAAGTAGAAACTAAAGAAAGTGGTAGAGAAATATTAGATACCAAGACAAAAGAAAGGGCTCGTCGAGATCATTGTGTACATTGATGATCAAATTGTCATTAGTGACAGAGTGAATCTCCGGTCCAGGAAATTGACCGTTTATTAGGATTACCTGCGTGTATTTATGCATGTATGTATTTAATTTTTATTACAGTATAAGTATGATCAAACAAAAACACAAGAAAGCCATTTTGTTGATCTGAGAAGAAAAATGTACCCTTTGAGAATGACCAAGTGGAGAAATCTTGCCGTAAGTGACTCTCCAGTCAAAAAAACGTTTGGGATCTTCAGCTTGAACAAAAGAAATGGTGGTTATCGTCATAATCATCCAAACGCCCCTGTGTTGCCACCACCTCATACTCGCTCTCGCAGTTGACCTAGATCTTGATGAAACTTTGGTAATGAGGAGGGGAACAAGAAGAAAAAATTGGAAAAGCTTGGAAGTTTGTAGTAACCCAACAATGACTAAGAGACGTATTTAAAGTTCAATGGGAAGCTTTTCAATAAGCTAGTTTGTTTAATTCAACTAGATGGATTCCAACTTTTCAACTATAAAAATAAATAGTGATAAAGAACTATTCAAATAGACATATACTTGAGTTATTCATTAGTACACATTAGTCTAACAAATTATAAAAATATAATCTGAGTATCAAATTTCATTTAGAAAATATATGAAATTTTGAAAACGCGTGTCATTTTTTTTTAATTGCATTGAATGCGAAATCATCATATATATTATAATCAAAGTAAAATTTTGAGTTAAAGCTCTCTCATTTAATCTTAGAATGGCTAATTACCCTTTACCCCTCCTTATATTTTATAAAATTAAATTTAATAAAAAAATTATTAAAAATCATAAATTAATTTAAAATTATTAAAAATGGTAAATTAAATAAAATATTAAAAATAAATTAATAAAAAATTGTTAAAAATCGAAATTTAATAAAAAATATATTTAAATTTAATAAAAATTATTAAAAATCGAAATTTAATCAAAAAATATTTAAAATAGAAAATAACGAAAATTTAAAAATTAGAATTTAATCAAAAAAACATTTAAAATCATATCATATATAATATATGCGAAGTAAATTTTTTGCTATAAGGTCTCTCATTCAATCTAGGTAACTAATTCCCCTTTATTCGTTAATAAAATCTTTTTAAAATATCCTTAATTAATTAATTTATTTTCGTAGTTTGTATAACAATTTTGCTTATTCTGTTTATTTTTGGAATAATGTAAGAGATGCCAAATACACTAGCAGGACGCAGAGGAAAAAATCGAAAAAGAAAACAGAAAAAGGAAAAAAGGGAAAAACGAAGTAGAAGAGAAAAAAGATAAATTGAAACATATAGAAGAACATAGAGTTGACGAAAACGTAAAAAAATGAGGAAAAAATGAACAAAAAGTCCTAGACCATGAACGATAAGATCAAGATGGGTAACACAAAATAGTGAAGAAGAAAAATGATAAGGAGATGAAGAACTCAAAGTTGAAGAAGAAAACTGAAAGAAAAAGAAGAACAAAAATGGTAGATGAAGAAAATAAAGTATAAGAAAATGAAAATCCGACGATGAAAAAGAAAATAAAAAGAAGAAAGTAAAGATGCGAAAAAGACAAACAAAAATTAGAAAGAAAAAATATCTGGATACGACAAAAATGATCAAGAAGAAGTAAAAAGCAGAAGATAAAAACGGCTAATAAAACCAAAAGAAGAATAGTAGAAGATGTTGAAGAATAAGAATTTAGAGAATACAAAGACAATAAAATTAAACAAAGAAGAAGGGGCAGACAAATAAAACAAAAAAAAAATCAACAGAAAAAACGAAGAAAAAACCGAGTGAAAAAAAATCAAGAAGTCAAAAAAGATGAATAGAATACATAAGAAGAAATAGTCAAAAAAAATGAAGATAAGAAGGAAAAAACAAAGAATAGAAAAGCTAAAAAATAAAGAAAAAGAAGAAGAATAAGAAAACAACGATAATATGAACAAAAAATAATACAATGAACAAGTAAGATAAAAAAATAGTCAGATAGGTCGATGACGATGAACAAGAAACATTAAATGACCAATTGGAGAAGAAAGAAGATAATCAGAAGAAGAAATCATAAAGGAAAACCAGTAGATCGTAGAGGAAGTGAAAGAAAAAATAATAAAATGGAAGAAAACTAGAAGATGAAGAAGACAAAGTTGAAAAAGGTTCTATGATGAAAAAACGAAGACAAATCAGATGAATAACAAGTAATTAAAAATGAAGACAATATAGAAGAACAATTTGAAAACAAATAACGATAAAAAAGAACTCAAAAATATAAGGAAAAAACTAAAAAGAGGAAAATATAAACCATAAGAGGAGTAAAAAGACAGATAATACAAAGATCTTTAAAATATGATGCAGAATTTGGAGAGAGAAAGAATAATTGGAAGAAGAGGAATAAAAATCTGTTGAAGGAGAAAAAAAATAAAATAGAAGACAAAGTAGAAGAAGAAGATAGGGAAGAGAAAAAATTGGATGAAAACCTTAAAAGATGAGGAATTGGAGAAAGTAGAAGAATATGAAGATGAGGTAAAAGCCGAAAAACACCAAAAGAATAGGAAGTCGGTGATAACGAAGAAGACGATGACAATAAAAAAAGGAAAAGTAAAAAAGAAGAAGAAATAGAATAATAAAACATTGAAGAAGAAAAAGAAGAAATGGAATAAAACCTGGAAGAGAAGAAAATCAAAAGATGTATGAGAGGAAAAAGGAAAAGATGTGGAGAAGAAGAAGAAGACGTGAAAAAGAAAAACCAGCAGAATAAAAAGTAAGAAAAAAAAGACATAGAAAATAAAGAAGGAAAAAAACAAAAAAACAAAAAAAGAAAGAAAGAAGAAAATGATAGAGAAAAAAAATTAAAGGATAAAAAGAGAAAAAGATGAATAATTTATATTAATCTTATTTTAATTTGTGTTTATTGATTTTATACACTTATTAGTATTTGTTTTAAAGTTTTTAATGTTAGACAATGATTACTTTCATAGATTAGCTTTAATTTAATTTTGTATGTATCAAATTCTTGATCTAATTATTTTTGATTTGTGACATGAAATTTTATTTTAGGTTTTAATGAAACTTTTCGGCTCGCGCAAGTCGCGGACTAAACACCTAGTTTATTTAAATCAAAAATTCATTTTTTACAACTACAGTTTCGTAAGTTTGAGATTTTGAGACATTATTAACTGTAGAAAATATTCAGAACCAGAATTTACGAGCTCTTTGTTGCGAACTAGAGTTGGAGACTCTACTCGTCCTTTTGATCTCCTGATTCCCTATTCGGGGATAACCAATTTTGAACTTGTTTGTCGATGAGCTTTGATATAAGATGGAATCCATCAATCTTATAAACACCAAATAATCAAGAAATTAAAGCTTGATGGAATTGATGGAAGAAGGTAGAGATGACAATCTACTCGGTTTATGGCTGAACCGAATGGATTAATGGACAAGACTTAGTTAAAGAACCTTTGAATATCTTCAGTAATCCCCAAAATATGAGAAGAATAAGTGTTGAATGCTTTGGTCTTGGGAGTTTCCATAAATGGTCTCGGATAGACCCGTTTGAGTATTGTTGAGCCATCGGGTGAATCCAGCTCAGTTTGGGTTGTACCTTCAATGTTTTTAGTCCAGTATAGGTCCAAAAAGAGGTTGAATAACTTCTGGGTCGGATTGTGTGGTGGTTGGGCTGTGCATTTTGTTCTTGACCTGAAATAATTTGTCAAGTGGAATAGGATCCAATGAAATAATCTCTTTGAATAGACTTGTCTCCAGGTGGATTTTTTTGATTCTTCACAAGTTTTCATATTACTTCATCTTTATGGGGATATGCTGTTTCGTTGACCACATCAGCTTGATGAACTGATCGGAAAGTATCACAACTTCACTATGGCAATGCATATTCATTTCTTTCCAAATACAATGAACTGTCATTTGAAAACCGTACCGAAGAAGAAACACAGTCTTTTTAACTCCTGCAATATGACCAGTAGTATAAGACTTTGAAACAGGAGTACAAGTGGTACATTTGCTATTTGGATTTGAATATTAACCACTCCTAAAGAGGAAGGGACCTTAGACTAAAGGACTAGGATGTATGGAACCGCACATGTTTACTCAAGCGCCTCTGACTTTTACTCTTCAGAACATAGTCTATTTGGTTTGGATCCACCAAAATATCATTAAAAATAGCAACATGTTGAACATCAAAGAAAAAAAAGTTATAGCTCAATATATTTAAGCCACTAATCTGGCTAAAAGAAGTCGTACTACAATTGGTAAGGATTGTACCGAGTAGCCGAAGGACATACTGCAAAGGAAAATTGATAGGATGATTAAAAAAAAATTCTTCTCCAGCACTATCTACGAAATTACAGAGATCCTAAACCTCAGCTTATTTAGAACCCTATCATATGGATCAAATGTGACATACCTAACCACAAAACGCTTGAGTGGATGATTCTTCTCAACTGATTTCATACCAGAAGCCATCTAAGCTCATGGGATATATAATCTGATCATTTTTTCCCACTATGTAATCAAGCACTACTAGAATCATGAGGTTACCTCTACTTTGAGAGCAGCTGCTCCTCCATGATCTGGTCTCCACTATCATCCTGATTGGCTAGTATGCCGGTCGTGTATGACGAAACGGATTTAACCGCACTGAAGATGGGACTATGGCACAAGTCAAAATTTAAGGAAGATATCACGATCAACACCCCAACCACGATTTAGGATGTGCTCCACCGAGGCGCAGGCTTTGCAACCACCACGGAATAACATATGGAACTTACAAAACGTTATAAAATCTCAGGTTCCAACAATCTCAGCCGGCTCACAAGGAGAGAAGCAGGATCATAGGAAAAAGAGCCACTCGGGCGGGTCATAAACCTTTGCTTTTGCAAATAGAGGCAAAGAAAGGTGACCATGACCGACAAGAAAAAACGACGACATGCTGGGAAAGAATAATGAAGTATTTTGCGACTATCACCAAAGGTATGGACACTCGACTGTAAAATGTTACAAGTGAAAACACAAACTTCTGGATATGTACGCCGAAGGAAAACTCGGTAAAGTTAAAATCAACCCTCAAGACTCCACAAAAGCAAAAGGAGGAAGTCAGGACGACACTGGGTCAGTTGAACAAAACCATGGTCAAAAGGAGAAGAGGATCAACCTAATCGTGGGAGGACCAAAACTCTTCGGGAACATGACCAACTCGATCAAGAGATACCACCACCGGGCTGACACCAAAAAGACAAACAACGGTTGTTATTTTCTAAAGAGAAATATCTTTCTCCAAAAAGGATTGGTTTG